AAGTACAACACTAGTCAGTTGGGCTGCAAATGCTGCAATTATTATAAATGCGCACGCCACATTGTGATTTTTATCGTAGTACTAGTAAAATGTTAGTAACCACAACATCCCAGAACTCATTCTTGTTTTACGTAAAACTAATAGACATTATAGACACTGTTTGGCTCTGTAGCTTCACAGATGATAATACTTCAAAATTAATGACGTAAAGTTATCAAAGAACTTAACCCCGCCTAATATTTGGAACAAAAAATAGATTAGTCACGGAGGGTTCAATTTAAAAGTCAAAGGGCAGACCTTTCTTTTCACTTTTCAAACTTTTCCCTTTTCACAGTTTACTCTTGGCAAAAGTATAACAAGTATTTGAAGTGGTTTATATATTTATATAATATCATTAACAGTACTCGTGTTGCGGAAATTCCTTTGAAATTCCCACACTTAAATGATAAATCACTCACACAATCGAACCAGTGCTTTTTTATCTGTTTTGACTTTGTCGATTTATTTTAAGTCCTAAGCCACCACGCCTTAGCACATAGAGTCCTTTTGTGGATTCTACTTATAATCGCTATCCAGCCAAGTAGTCACTAAACTTATCTTTTCATGTGCACACATTGAGTGATGAGCCCTTTAACAAATGTTAACAGGTGTCTTTATTGATGGTACTTTCGAGTATTTCGATAAATTGCATTACACATTGTTAACAGTAGTGAGTATTTTCACACGATAATATCTTTTACTGAAAAGGATAAGGCAGCTAACCTCTTGAATCCAAAAACGTCATTATTCAAAGCGAGTGATTCAAATCGTCCTAGCTTGAAAGCAGGACGCAATCGTAGACTAGTTAAAGTCCTATAAACTTGATAGTGAGAACGAACGGATGAACGCTGTTGAGCCACGTTGAGACTCTCGAAACCGTCCGCGATTGGAAGCCACGTCTTTGCCGCTGTAGAAAATCCTGGAAATTCAAACGAAGCAATATATGAAAATAAATCTGTCTATCTGAAGCAAAACAATCTTATAGTTTAAGATCCGCAATGCGAAAATTGACCCCTTAGCGTCTAATAAATTAAGAAACAAAATCCTTTGAAGTTTTGAAGACCGAATTATAATTGCGAATCTGCTTCTATGTTACAATACAAAGACACCCTAAATTATCTATTCAATATCTGACTCAACGTAGCTTACAAGAGCCTTGGATTTAATTAACATTGCCATCCCAGGACGTCGTCGTCATGAGTAATTGATTATGTAAAGTCGAAGTAACTTCAGATACTTCTTGGCTTCTTTTAAGAATGCTATTCACAAATGAATTTCATTTGGTGAACTCGTGTTTCGATAAACTTAAAAGGGATGTAAATTCAGTCCGAACATCAAGGGTGCGGTAATGTATACTTTGTGTTATCCGATTTCAGGTATATCCTTTTTGTGAGACTTATTTTGGGAATGCCTTGAAAATTTAGATCAACAGTAACTGTTGAATATTAATGGGTGTGCACATAACGATTGATAGAAAAGATGTC